GTACAACCAGTAGTCAGGCAGTTATTCAAGGTGCTCATCATGCCCTTACCCTAGGAAATGTATGGCTTTATAACCCAAACTGGATTATAAAGTCTGGAAAGGTCAATTCAACCTTGCCTCTATAACTTTAAACCTTTCCAGAAATACATGTAGATGGAAAATTGTCATTGATTTTTCTTTATTATTTTATTGGCAATGTACTAAACAGATAGTTACTAGTTTTTGCTACTTATACCTAACAAGCATCCATGGTTTCACTTTTTTTCTGGAACATAGGTAGTTAACAATTCTTTTAATTTTATGAAATATATTTGTTTTTGCACTTTGCTGAAATCACCTGGGTAATTTTTTATAGCTTACAAACACTGAATTAAAAGATTACCTGAAATGAGGATAATATATAGAATTTGGCAACTTGTAAATTATCATTGATCTTGAAAAAAGATGTTTGACTTGCTTCATGAGTACTGACATGAGGTTAGAAATTGAAGAAATGCAGGCCGGGCACCGTGGCTCACGCCAGTAATCCCAGCACTTTGGGAGGCCGAGGTGGGTGGATCACGAGGTCAGGAAATCGAGACCATCCTGGCTAACAAGGTGAAACCCTGTCTTTACTAAAACTACAAGAAATTAGTCAGGCATTGTGGCGGGTGCCTGTAGTCCCAGCTACTTGGGAAGCTGAGGAAGGAGAATGGCATGTACCCGGGAGGTGGAGCTTGCAGTGAGCCAAGATAGCACCACTGCACTCCAGCCTGGGCAACAGAGCAAGACTCTGTCTCAAAAAAAAAAAAAAGAAAGAAAGAAAAAAGAAATTGAGGAAATGCAGACACTGAGTACAAATTTTTTGGGAAATCTTTCTGTGAAGGAGAGTGTCTTAGTCCAAATTGTGCTGCTCTCACAGACTACCTTAGACTGGATAATTAATAAACAACAGAAGTGTATTTAGTTCATGGTTCTGAAGTCTGGGAAGTTCCAGATTGGGTGGCAGCATTTGGCAGTTGGTGGTGAGACCTTCTCCTGTGCCAACATATGACAGAGAAATGGAAGGGGAACCAGCCACGTGGGAAAAGTTCAAAACCGGAGCAGAAAACTTGCTTATAACAACCTGCTCTCACAGGAACCAATGCGTTCTGATAAGAAGGAAAACTCACTTCCACCTGGGAGATGGCATTAATCTATTAAGAAGGGCAGTGCCCTCATAATCCCAACACCTCCCCCACTACACCCTACCTTCCATCAGTGCCAGACTGGGGGTAAAATTTCAACATGAGTTTTAGAGGAGACACACTCAAACCACAGCAGGGAGCAAAGAGATTGTGTGGGAGTTGAAGAAAGAAGTTATATCAAACAGAGATTTATTTCCCTTTTATTCTTTCAAATAAAAGAGCAGAATGTGTTTTTGTATTGATATAGACAAAATTTAATCTTTTTTTCAAAATTAATAAACCTTACAAATTTAAAACCTCAAGGTCTTTAATTAAACATACAAATCATATGCTTTTATTTATGAATCTTGCAAGTTTTTAACATTCACTGTTAATATTCACTGTTACTTTGAGTAAGCCTAAAGCCTAGCTCCCATGTTTTTAATAATGAGACTTATTCAATTAGTGTAATAGGCTTGTGTGCTCGGTTTTTGCATCAGCTCAGATTTGCATGCTTGTTTTGCTTTCTAGCCTGAGCAGCTTCAGCAACAGTTTGTGCTGTTCCCATGACACTGAAACCTAGTCACTGCATTGCCAGATTGAAGAGCCCACTACTGGAGGTGCTCAGGCTCCCCTCAGTTCCTCCTCTGAGAATACAGTCCCCCGCCTCTTGCCATCTGTCTGCAGGCTCTTCTTGGGCTAAAGCAGCAGATACCAAGAATACCCTCTAGAACCTACAAACAAAGCCTCAGTGGAGTTCATGACTGGTGGAGTAGACTTTGGGCAATGAGAGACAGGAGTCTGTGGATAAATTATTTTCCCTTCCAATTGCCAGATAGACTGGTTGGAGCTATGGTAGTTCTGTATAACTCTATATAAACATTTTCTATTTATCTCACTGTTATTTTCCTTTATTTCTGTTTCCTAAATAATGCAGTCCATGCTGCAGGGTCATCCCCTAAGATTACACCTCAGTCTGTTTTCTGGGAAATGGATCCCGTGACAGCAAGAATATCATAAATATGGCATGCACATAAAATTCCATATTTGCACAGATTATTTAACAAAAAAAGTTTTAACTTTCATTCTCTTAAGTATTGGTATATGTAATTCTAAATTTTCTTCTGGATAAAATATGTTTAACTACTACACAGATCATTTTTATGATCACAAACAATTTGAGGAACGTTTCCCATGTATTTTGGGGAATTACTTTCTAAATTTGCATAACTTTCTTGAAGACCATTTTTGATAACCGTGATGAAGATTAAATTCTGCTTTTGTAGCAACGATAGGATTTATTAGCCAAATTTATAGTCTATAACAGATAATCAATAATTTAAAGAAAGAAGTGGCCACATAGCTATGTCTGTGTGTCATATATGTATACTGTTTTTTCTTCTCATAACCCTGGCTGCTGTATTATTTGATTGGATTTATATTTCTTTAGATTTTTAGATATTTTAAGACTTCTCTCATAACTTAAAAACATCCTTGCTCTTGGTGAAAAAACCTTCCTTTTCATTTTCTTACCTGTTAAAGCCATAAAATCTATAAATCTTTGAGATTCTCACTTGGCTTTGCCTGATTACATAATTGTAGAGTTCTAGTGAAATCCTTCCCAAACTTAAGCATATACGAGAATCATCAGGGATTACTGTTAACACATACGCTGCTGAACCTTGTCCCCAGGGTTTTTGATTCAATAGGTTTGGGGATGGGCACAAGAATTTTAATGTCTTACAAGATCCAAGAGGATGCTGGTGTTTCTGGACTGCCAATTTAACCTTGGGAACTACTGTTCTAAAATAATGTCAATGAAATGTACCTTGAGAAATCTTACTACAGAACTTTAAGCTAAAAGTGACCACATACTCCTGTCTCTCATTGACTAAAGTTTATGCCATCAGCCATGAACTGCAAGGCTTTGCTTATATAGGGATATTGATATGGAATAGTCAAGTAGACAAGCAAAACAGAAAAACCTATGGGGAAAAAAAGTAACAGGATATTTGATGATAGAAAATTACATTTCTTTCCCAAATAAGACACAATAAATATAAAGACTGACCAACTTAACCTTTTTATTATAAGTACTGTTTGATAAAAGTTTCGATAATTAAATTCAATTGACATTTTCAAGTAGTGAGTGAATATTTGCAACACGTATAACTAACAGTAGAATAATATTCAAAATATAGAAGCAACTTATATATCACAAACAAAATTATCAATTATTCAATAGAAAAATAGAAAATGAATATAAAATTACATATATAGACGTGACTATCCCAAGTTTCTATGAATCTAAAGAGAGAATCACATTAATAAGAAGAATGCAAACTAAAGTGGCAAGACACTGCTCCACATGCATAGATTAGTGAATATTTCACGATTTTTTTTACATCAACTATTGATAAAAGTGAGGAGAAACACTTTAATATTGCAAGTAGGATTAGTACTTGAATTATTACTTGAATGGAATGTTGTGGGGTGTTTTTTTTTAGCCATTCTGGTGGGCGGGTAGTGTTGTCTCAATGTGGTTTAATTGTTGGGTTTTGATGCCTATCTAATGATTTTTAAATAATTTAAAATTTTCATTGATATGCTACATTTATAAAATAAGCATAGCTACATAAATTCAATGAACAAGTTTAGTCTTAAGGTCAAGCTTTGTGATAAAAGTTGAACTCTAAAATACTGAATAAGATATGGTTGGTGCTCTATTCATTATTACTCATACACATTTTGGAACAATTTTGTGGGTGTCTTGGAAATGCATGTGTCTGTACAGAGGTTGAGATCATAATTCTTGTTAGAGATGTTGAATTTTCTTATATGAACTGACACTGCTAGAATATCTTTGCCAGCTATAATGATTTAAGTAATGTAGATGTTTGTACTGGTAACAATATTTATTGAGGATTTACAAATTGCTACTAAGTTATCTGATTTTAATGATTAATTTGTTTATCTCTTATAACAACAGTATTAGGTTTCTTTTTCTTCAACAACACATATAGGCACAGTTTTCAGAACTTTATGCCACTAAACCCCTTCAATATTCATAACCACACTTTTGGGTAGTACTGTCATATGTATTTTGCACTTTGTAAAGGGAGCCACAGAGGTCTGAGGAGGTAACATGCTTAACACACTACCAATAATGTGAGAGCCACAGTTCAAAACCAGCAGTCTGGCTCCAAAGTCTGTATGCATAACTCCTATACCAAACTTCCTATGAAAAAATAATTCTAACACAAACAAGAAGAACAAGGCCAAGATAAATCAGCAGCGGTAAAAAGCAAACTCTAAGTAGGCAGCTTCATTCCCAAATCTGTTCTTTCTTTGTTTGTTTGTTTTGTTTTGTTTTTTGAGACGGAGTCTCCCTCTGCCGCCCAGGCTGGAGTGCAGTGGCCGGATCACAGCTCACTGCAAGCTCCGCCTCCCAGGTTCTACGCCATTCTCCTGCCTCAGCCTCCCGAGTAGCTGGGACTACAGGCGCCCGCCACCTCGCCCGGCTAGTTTTTTGTATTTTTTAGGAGAGACGGGGTTTCACTGTGTTAGCCAGGATGGTCTTGATCTGCTGACCTCGTGATCCACCCGTCTCGGCCTCCCAAAGTGCTGGGATTACAGGCTTGAGCCACCGTGCCCGGCCCCCAAATCTGTTCTTTTAACCATTGCACTGTGACTAATAATAGTTTTCATAATAGCTAATGTATAATCAGAAGTCATGATGCTCCAATCACTGCACTCAACACTTCACATGAATTACCTTATTTAATACTTAAAAAGTGAAGTATACTTAATACTTAAAACAATATTATTCATATTTTATAGATAAGAAAACTGGATGTTAAAGCAAGTTAAGCAATTTACACAGGTTATAAAAACTGGTGATTTCCCTAACCAAATACAGACACAATTATAGTTCAAAATTTATTTTAAATTCTACAACCCTAATTTCAGGTAAAACAACAACATTGGTAAAACAAACATTCAAAAATTCCTCTTTTAAAACTTCTGTTGACAACTCCTTTTTGTTGGATAGATCATAAACAATTTGTTAGGATATAAGACTCATGAGCTCAAGTGACCTTATTCATCCCAGTGATTTCTCCATTTATTCAGCCATCACTTATTGACACTTGCTATTCATTCTTTCATTTATTCTTCAACATAATTTGCTGAGTGCTAGAGTATCCCAAGGACTCTTCAACACATTGTGGATGTGAAGTGAATAAAAGTAAAAAAGGACTCTAGTTCCGTGACACTTATATTGTAGTGAGTGGTTTCAGGGGAGAAGGCTGGTAAATAAACAACACCTGAAGAAGCAAGATCATTTCAGAAAATGGTAGTTACTACAAATTCAATCCAATAGGGCAGTTTGTATCAAATGAAAGTTCTGATGGCAGTTGTAAGAAAAAGCCTTTTCAAGACAACATTTGAGATAAAACGTGGATGCTGGGAAAGAACCAGTCACGTAAAGATTTCATTGTAGGGCGAGGAAACATGAGCAAAGAGGCCCCTGCAAGCACTGTGGGGATAATTTCTTTTTATTCCCATTTCCATCTTTCTCATCCTGGACTTCATTGTTGGAACTAAATCTTCTTGTAGTTTCCTAACTGATCTTTCTACCTTCATTCTCTCTCATTTCCATTTTAGCATTTACTCATCTGATAGACTTAACTTTTTGAAGCATGACTATTACCATTTAATTCACTTGTTTGAATATTCTCATTATTTTCTGTCAGCCTGTAGTGTCACAACGAAATTCTGTAGACTATCCTTATAATCTTTACTTGTTCTTATGGCAATCTGCATTTCCAGCCATATTTTTTAGCATTCCCTTTCATCTCCAGTTACCTCAGTCAAAATAATGTATTCAGTGTTCTTTTATATTACTCAGTATCTTAGATTTTGCTCTTTTGTTCTCTTATCCTAAATTCCCTTCTACCCTGAATCTACGCATGTCCAAAATGTACCCATTTTTAAATGGCTAATAGAAGTTGTAACCCTATTCTACGGTTTTCCCAAATGAGTAAATTATTTGAAACATTTTGCCATGATTTCCATTCCAGAAATGTAAAAAGGACTAGAGAAATGATTTTTTAAAAAATAGACATTTAAGAAGATACATGATATAATGTGTATTTGTTAAGTTTTCTTTCTGCCCAGCTTCTCTTTTTAATGACTGGAAGATTTATCTCTTTATGAATAATGCATTTTCTACGCAGGGGCCTTCATCCTCACTGCTGTGGGTCCTTTGAAGAAGAGCAAAGGCTTCTGACCTTTGGCTTCAACCGAGGAAGCATTGATTCTAAATGAATGGGGTGTAGTTTCTGAGTGGAAAATAAAAAACTGCAAACTTAAATTCTTATTGCCAATTTGACACCCTTCAAAAACTGTAACAGTCGTTTCAAGCTTAAGAAAATGCGTATTATTTTATGGATTCTCCAACTGATGTCACACACTAAAGTAAAACAACAACAACAACAACAAAATGACATCTATATTCTCACCTTTGTACAAACTGTCTTAATGCACCTGCACTATCTTCAGGAAATATGGGGAATTATACAAAGTTTTAACATCTTACTACTTTTTGAAATTAGAAATGACTCTGAGTGAAGCATGATTTCGTTCTCTGTGAAACTACATTGAGCTTACTCCACTAACGGATTCCGCTGCTTTGTTGCTAGGCAACCAAGTTCGGATTGCTACTTGCCTTTGCGCTCAGAGTAAACAGGGCCACAGGATCACTTTCATTTTTTTAAGCATAATGCACATTTTTTTTTCTTTTTTCCCCTCAAGATCTGTTTGTGGAAGCATAAATAATTTTTTAAAACTTTTCTTTTTAAAGCAGTTGGATCTATTGTATCTGTATCCCTGATGAATCTACTTTACAAATGATTTACATTCTATATCTTATACCTTACAATTTGTCCACTTTGTAAATTTTGGAACTTGGTATTTATATCTACTTTTGATTCTCAGTTTAGCAGGATTGTAGTTGTTTCTTTCTTTTATTTCTTGCCTTCTCTCTCTCTCTCTCTTTTTTTTTTTTTTTTTTTTTTTCCTGAGATAGAGCCTCACTCTGTCTCCCAGACTGGAGTGCAGTGGCGCAATCTGGGCTCACTATAACCTCTGCCTCCCGGTTTCAAGCGATTCTTCTGCCTCAGCCTCCCAAGTAGCTGGGAATACAGGTGCGTGCCACCACACCCAGCTAATTTTTGTATTTTTAATAGAGACGGGATTTCACCATATTGGCCAGGCTGGTCTCAAACTCCTGACCTCGTGATCTGCCTCTCTTGGCCTCCCAAAGTGCTGGAATTACAGGTGTGAGCTATCACGCCTGGCCAGTTGTTTCTTCATTTAATAATAAAACATCACAACATTAATAATGGAGATAAGTTTGAGAAACAAGAAATAATACAGCAAATGTTTACCGTATTCAACTTATTCCTTGTGAGACAGAGAACATAGCAGTGACTAAAGCAGTCCAGAATCCCTTCTCTTATGATTTGGTTTGGCTGTTTCCCCACCCGAACCTCGTCATGAATTTTAGTTCCTATAATTCCCACGTGTTGGGGTAGGGACCTTCTGGGAGGTGATTAGATTGTAGGAATGGCTTCCCCATGCTCTTTTCATGATAATGAGTGAGTTCTCATGAGATCTAATCGTTTTGTGAGGGGCTTTCCACCGCTTTCCTCTGCACTTCTCTCTCCTGCTTCCTTGTGAAGAAATACATGTTTCCTTCCTCTTCCGCCATGATTGTAAAATTCCTGAGGCCTACTACACCATGCAAAACTGTGAACAATTAAACCTCTTTCATTTAGAAATTACCCAGTCTCAGACAATTCTTTATAGCAGCATGAGAATGGACTAATGTACCTTATGAAGTTTGCATCTACTAAGGGAAGTTAGGCAATACATATGTGGAAAAAAAAAAAAAAAAAAGAGAGAGATAACTATGTAGTTGGCATTGATATGTTTTAAGCAGGAAAAGATCCAAATTTTATGGATTCTATAACTCTTCTATAGTTTGATGGCAATTTTTTAAAGAAATTATAAATATTGTGGATACAAAATTAGTTAGAACGTCTTTGAAAGAGCCAGTACAAATGAGGAATTAGGAATTGTAAGCATCATCAATTTCACCATACATCCATTTCTGCTATCGTAGAATGCAAACTCAGAAGAGAGTTATGGAGCTCAAGGTAGGTAGGCAGTTGCAATTTTGTACTGTGTGGCCAAAGAAAGCTTCAATAAGAACAAGACACTTGAATAACAACAATAACTGAGGAAAATGATGCGGTTGATAAGTAGCTATAATTGCTCGGTGCTCAAAGATAGGAAGCTGAGCTGGAAAGAAGATAGAAAGTGGTTGTTACAGAGTGGAATGTTTGGAATTGAGATCACAAATGATGACAGTGTTGTTAATAACAAAGGATAGACTTTTCTGTGGGAATGAACAACTGCAGTAGAATGAAGAACATGATTATTGGATAAATGGAGGCCAAGAAACTGAATAGCGACATTATTAGATAATAAACATGAATACTATAGTAACCAGGAACAAAGCAACATTAACTGTTGATGGCATAACAGCCAGGTGCTAAAGCTTTTTATTCATGGTGAAGAATGACCTGGTAGATTGCGATGGTGAGGTTGAAATATAGTGGAAGGGGGAGCGGGGACTGAAGTCTCTACAGGAATACTCAGAGTTACACATGTATGTATTCCTATGTACAGCAAAAAAGGATAGAAAGTGAGTGGTGTAATATGATGTCAAAATTTATGACTGGAGTCATTTAGTGACAAGAGACGAATAATATTCTGCAAACCATAATGGAGAGCATGAGTGTTAGCAAGTCCGCCTTCAAGATCTTTAATATGTAGTTTGGGTGGAAAAAAACAACTGTCACTTGGGTGTACTATGAGGGCAGCAGTAGCCTCAGTGAGATCCAGGTTTCAGTTCAACCAAGAAGGTGAAGGCAAATTTTTAAAGAAGCTACTTAGAATATAATGTATTTATCTGATGACCAAGCGTGATTCCTTGAAGATATAATGGAAAAATTTCAAAGTTGAAGAGTAGCTGACAGTAAATGATAGGCACATCTTTAGGACAAATAGATTCTCCATGTTGAAGAATAATAAGATATTCCTGGTCTATTGATTAGGAATAGTGTATAATGGAATCATGGAAATTTGTCTTGATGGTCACAGTGAAGATTCAGGGTTACTACACATATGTGTTTATTATATCTGCATGCATGTCATACATAATCATTATAGATGTATAAGTATATTTGCACACAATCACAAAAAAAAAAATAGTCATTGACACTTGCAGAATAAAGGCTAAAGATGAAACAGTTATATCATACATGTTACTTACCACTAGCTTCTTTCCTCTGTAGTTCCATAAATACTCCTCCCATGAGTCACCCCAGCAATAGGAGTCTATTATTACACCCTCATTTCAGAAGTCTGAAGGAAGTGAAAAATTCTGTTGTATCCCAGTTAGATCCCATGAATACCATAATTTGCTACACTGCTCTACTTGTTGATCAAAACATTAAAATGCATATATACTTCATATAATTTTCACTAAGATTTATTCAAATGAAGTTCTTTATTCATTAACAGAAATCATATTAAGTAGAGGAAAAACAGGAAACAATACAACACACTCTCACATTTACACAGCTAGCACATAAATTCTACCTGTCTACTAATGGTAGATTTTCTTGAGCAAATATTGAATCTATGTTTTGTGAATTCTTGCATTTAAAAGGAAAAGAATTGTTTCATAAAAGCATCTTGTACTACTTAATTAAATTATGAATTTCAGAGGTAGTTCATTGTATGACTCATTGGCCTTATCTCTCTGGTTCTCTAATTTAAATTGAATTCACCTAAGCATTCCTAAAAACTGATACTGGTAATTTATTTGTAAAAATTCACTTTGGAAAAGGATTTTGTAAATGTCTTTATCTCACTCAAAACATAAAGTAATTCAAGTGTTTCCAAAAACTCAGAATAACTGACAGTTTCAATAAGTATTTTTTATTTATGTATGTCAGTGAAGACTTATTTTTATTTTCAGAAATAAGCACTTTACAGAGTTGGCACTTTATAAAAACTTTTAAAACCAATCAAATTGTCTGCTCTAAGATTTTTTTTTTCATTTTGTTTATTATTATACTTTAAGTTCTAGGGTAATTGCACAACGTGCAAGTTTGTTACATATGTATACATGTGCCATGTTGGTGTGCTGCACCCATTAACTTGACATTTATATTAGGTATATCTCCTAATGCTATCCCTCCCACCCACCCACAATAGAACCTGGTGTGTGATGTTCCTTTCCTGTGTCCAAGTGATCTCATTGTTCAATTCACACCTATGAGTGAGAACATGTGGTATTTGGTTGTCTGTTCTTGCGATAGTTTGCTGAGAATGATGGTTTCCAGCTGCATCCGTGTCCCTACAAAGGACACAAACTCATCCTTTTCTATGGCTGCATAGTATTCCATGGTGTATATGTGCCACATTTTCTTAATCCAGTCTGTCACTGATGGACATTTGGGTTGATTCCAAGTCTTTGCTATTGTGAATAGTGCTGCAATAAACATACATGTGCATGTGTCTTTATAGCAGCATGACTTATAATCCTTTGGGCATATCCCCAGTAATGGGATGGCTGGATCAAATGGTATCTCTAGTTCTAGATCCTTGAGGAATCACCACACTGGTTTCCACAATGGTTGAACTAGTTTACAGTCCCAACAACAGTGTAAAACTGTTCCTATTTCTCCACATCCTCTCCAGCACATGTTGTTTCCTGATTTTTTAATGATTGCCATTCTAACCGGTGTGAGATGGTATCTGATTGTGGTTTTGATTGCATTTCTCTGATGGTGAGTGATGATGAGCATTTTTTCATGTGTCTGTTGCCTGTATGAATGTCTTCTTTTGAGAAGTGTCTGTTCATATCCTTTGCCCACTTTTTGATGGGGCTGTTTGTTTTTTTCTTATAAATTTGATTGAGTTCTTTATAGGTTCTGGATATTAGCCCTTTGTCAGATGAGTAGGTTGCAAAAATTTTCTCCCATTCTGTAGGTTGCCTGTTCACTCTTATGGTAGTTTCTTTTGCTGTGCAGGAGCTCTTTAGTTTAATTAGATCCCATTTGTCAAATTTGACTTTTGTTGCCATTGCTTTTGGTGTTTCAGACATGAAGTCCTTGCCCATGCCTATGTCCTGAATGGTATTCCCTAGGTTTTCTTCTAGGGTTTTTATGGTTTTAGGTCTAACATTTAAGTCTCTAATACATCTTGACTTAATTTTCGTATAAGGAGTAAGGAAAGGATCAAGTTTCAGCTTTCTACTTATGGCTAGCCAATTTTCCCGGCACCATTTATTAAATAGGGAATCCTTTCCCCATTTTTTGTTTTTGTCAGGTTTGTCAACAATCAGATGGCAGTAGATGTGTGGTATTATTTCTAAGGGCTCTGTTCTGTTCCACTGGTCTATGTCTCTGTTTTTGTACCAGTACCATGCTGTTTTGCTTACTGTAGCCTTGTAGTATAGTTTGAAGTCAGGTCGCATGATGCCTCCAGCTTTGTTCTTTTGGTTTAGGATTGTCTTGGCAATGTGGGGTCTTTTTTGGTTCCATATGAACTTTAAAGCAGTTTTTTTCCAATTCTGTGAAGAAAGTCATTGGTAGCTTAATGGGGATGGCATTGAATCTATAAATTACCTTGGGCAGTATGGCCATTTTCACAATATTGATTCTTCCTATCCATGAGCATCGTCTGTTCTTCCATTTGTTGTGTTCTCTTTGATGTCACTGAGGAGTTGTTTGTAGTTCTCCTTGAAGAGGTCTTTTACATTCCTTTGTAAGTTGGATTCCTAGGTATTTTATTATCTTTGAATCTATTGTGAATGGGAGTTCATTAATGATTTGGCTCTCTGTTTGTCTGTTACTGGTGTGTAGGAATACTTGTGATTTTTGCACATTGATTTTGTATCCTGAGACTTTGCTGAAGTTACTTATCAGCTTAATGAGATTTTGGGCTGAGACAATGAGATTTTCTAAATATACAATCATGTCATCTGCAAACAGGGACAATTTGACTTATTCTTTTCCTAAAAGTGCTCTAAGATTTTGAATAGAGGGATGTAGACCAGAAGGATCACTGCGCACATGAGGCATGGACAAGAACACTATGGGGCATGATAGCATTGAAGCTCAACTGTAGTTTTAATTTTTAGGTTCTTTTGCCAGAAATTATTTATAAGTCAATTGGAGATGTTTGTCTAGAAGGACGTTTATAATTTTATACAGAAATACTTACACATCCTCAGATAATCTAAAAAAAATAGTTTATGTGACTAAGTGTTGGGGCTGAAATTGCAAGGGTCATGCTAAGTTCTTTCCGAAGAATAATTTAAGCCTTGATTTGAGAAGAGAAAATGAAATATAGGCATGTTTTGTAAGGAGCTGGATCAAAAGGAGAAGGCTCCGGAGAAAAGGAGGGAAGAGAAGTGTGTTATCAAGTTAGAGTTCAGAAGCAAAAATCCTTTCTGTGACAGGAGCCTCATTTATTTAATCAGTTTGAAGCTTAAGAAGCACCAAGTCTGGCAGATGGAAAAAAAAAAAAAAAAAAAAAGTTTTACCCTGCGGAACACAATGTGAGTTTTCAGGGTCCATGGTGAATAAAAATTTTCACCTCAGCACTTCAGTCAAGAATGTTTTGCACCTATTTTCTGAGAGCAGTATTCCTTATGTCTGTCTTGGGTAAACTTTACTGGCAATCTTCACATTATTTCAAAATTCAGATCTTCAAAGTCACTTGGGAACTTTGAACTGTCATGTGTGAAATCCTTTTGTTCACAGGTGGGAAGCCTTCCTACCTGTATCCAGAAGCTAGTACCTCTCACATTAAGAAATGGAGAACAGCTTCCTTACCTGTGTCCTGTCACTAAAATGGAGCAACTGAGTGCAGTAGTGACCCCTTGTCCATGGTGGTATCATTTTCCATGGTTACACTTATGCACAGCCAACTGCATTCAGAAAATAAGTGAGTACATCCTATTGATATATTTTGAAATCAGAGACCACTTTCATGCAGCTTTTATTGCTATAATTGTATTTATTATTGTTTATTGTGGTTCATCTCTTACTGAGCCTAATATATAAATGAAACTTTTCATAGGTGTATATGTATAGGAAAATATGTAGCATATATAGAGTTAGATGCTGTCCAAGGCTTCAGACATTCACTGGGGGTCTTGGAATATATCCCTAGTGGATAAAGAGGGACTACTAAATAACTGAGATAGAAATGTAGTGTAGTAAATAATGCTTTTGCACTATTGTTAATTTACATTCTTTTTCTTTCTGTATCAACTAATAATAGCAAAGGACAGATGTTGCACATGAATAATGTTTATGGAAATCTCAAATCACCAATATATGAAAAACAAAATGCTGAATTTATTTTTAATTTGTTAATTTTTTTTCTTGAATAAAGGAGTACTCTTTGTAAATATAAAAATTCAGCTCGTCACTGAACAAAGATAATGAGAAGATTTTGGTATTTAGGATTAGGAAGAAAACTGGAGTTTGAATTAGATTTAAACAAAGCAGTATTTTGATTGAGCTTATTATTGAAATAATACATTCTTCAATCCACAGTAGTGCAGTCCTAGGGCATCAAATCATTGAGAAAAATTCAATTCCAAAAAAATCTTTGAATACACTTGCAGCTTCCTGAGAATATGAGTTATATCCTTCGGGAAAGCAAAATTTATAGATTTCTATGTATGTACAACAGATGTCTTCAGGCAATTGTGGAATTTCTTTGTTTTTATTCCCTCCCTTTGTCCTTTCTTGGCTAGGTCACAGGAGAGACCATTAAATATTATCCAGATCTGTATACTGTCATGATTCTCCTTAGGAAATAACACTCAGAATATAATACAGGTAGGACAAGTGATTCTGGAACTTTCACTTGTATTAGTGAATGAAGATGATAATGTGGAATGACAGTACTTCACCAAGAAAGAAAAATGTTATCACAACTTTATTTCAATTTACAATTCTGGGAGGCTCAACAGTCAAATCAAGCGGTGTCCTGTTCCCTGCTGTGACAGTTCTCCACTCTCCACGGCATCAAGCAATTTGCTAAGAACATTGCACTTATTGACTGATTTAAACTTTATAACAATTCTAATAGTTAAGGCAAGTTATTACCCTCTTTATAACTTAAGAAAATAAGCCAGGGATGATATTGAATAATTTGTTCAAGCTAACACAGCTTTAAATATTCAAGTGATATGTGAAAATCAAGAAGAAATTAAAGATCAGAAAAAAATAAATATTTGCTATTACAGGGTTCCATTGCTTAAATGTCTAAATATTATACATGGTGAAAGCTATATATCTTACATTAATGTCCAATATATTTAAATGGCTTGCCAT